GCTCGGGAGCCAACCCCTGGTGTCTTGGAGGCAGATGAAACAACACACACACACACACACACACACACACACACACACACACACACAGATGAAACACTGTGCTTATATCCTCCCTCCCACACACAGATGAAACGGAAAATATCGAGGAGGAGAGAGAGCACCCCGCATCTCTCTCTCCTCTCTTCTCTTCTCTCTCTCTCTCTCTCCTCCTCTCTCTTCTTCATCTCTCTCTCTCTCTCTCCGCTCTCTCTCTCTCTCTCTCTCTCCTCTTCTCTCTCTCTCTCTCCGGGGCCACCTCACAGTCATAGAACACCTACTATCTATCTTCTCTTCTCATCCCCCCCTTCCCCCTCTCCTCTCTTCTCCCTTCCCCTTAACAAATGCTCCTTACCCAGCCATTTTAAAGGCCATTGACATTTTTTTATTTTTTATTTTTTTTATTTCACCTTTATTTAACCAGGTAAGCCAGTTGAGAACAAGTTCTCATTTACAACTGCGACCTGGCCAAGATAAAGCAAAGCAGTGCGATAAAAACAACAATCACAGAGTTAAATATGGGGTAAAAAAACAAAGTCAAAAAAATACAACAGAAAAATATATATACAGTGTGTGCAATGTAGCAAGTTATGGAGGTAAGGCAATAAATAGGCTATAGTGCAAAATAATTACAATTAGTATTAACACTGGAATGCTAGATGTGCAAGAGATTATGTGCAAATAGAGATACTGGGGTGCAAAAGACCAAAATAAATAACAATATAGGGATGAGGTAGTTGGGTGGGCTAATTTCAGATGGGCTGTGTACAGGTGCAGTGATCGGTAAGGTGCTCTGACAACTGATGCTTAAAGTTAGTGAGGGAGATAAGAGTCTCCAGCTTCAGAGATTTTTGCAATTCGTTCCAGTCATTGGCAGCAGAGAACTGGAAGGAATGGCGGCCAAAGGAGGTGTTGGCTTTGGGGATGACCAGTGAGATATACCTGCTGGAGCGCAGACTACGGGTGGGTGCTGCTATGGTGACCAATGAGCTAAGATAAGGCAGGGATTTGCCTAGCAGTGATTTATAGATGGCCTGGAGCCAGTGGGTTTGACGACGAACATGTAGTGAGGCCAGCCAACAAGAGCGTACAGGTCACAGTGGTGGGTAGTGTATGGGGCTTTGGAGACAAAACGGATGGCACTGTGATAGACCACATCCAATTAGCTGAGTAGAGTGTTGGAGGCTATTTTGTAAATGACATCGCCGAAGTCAAGGATCGGTAGGATAGTCAGTTTTACGAGGGCATGTTTGGCAGCATGAGTGAAGGAGGCTTTGTTGCGAAATAGGAAGCCGATTCTAGATTTAACTTTGGATTGGAGATTCTTAATGTGAGTCTGGAAGGAGAGTTTACAGTCTAACCAGACACCTAGGTATTTGTAGTTGTCCACATACTCTAGGTCAGACCCGTCGAGAGTGGTGATTCTAGTCGGGTAGGCGGGTGCCAGCAGCGTTCGATTGAAGAGCATGCATTTAGTTTTACTAGTGTTTAAGAGCAGTTGGAGGCTACTGAAGGAGTGTTGTATGGCATTGAAGCTCGTTTGGAGGTTTGTTAACACAGTGTCCAATGAAGGGCCAGATGTATACAAAATGGTGTCGTCTGCGTAGAGGTGGATCTGAGAGTCACCAGCAGCAAGAGCGACATCATTGATATACATGGAGAAAAGAGTCAGCCCAAGAATTGAACCCTGTGGCACCCCCATAGAGACTGCCATAGGTCCAGACAACAGGCCCTCCGATTTGACACATTGAACTCTATCTGAGAAGTAGTTGGTGAACCAGGCGAGGCAGTCATTTGAGAAACCAAGGCTATTTAGTCTGCCAATAAGAATGCGGTGGTTGACAGAGTCAAAAGCCTTGGCCAGGTCGATGAAGACGGCTGCACAGTACTGTCTATTATCGATCGCGGTTATAATATCGTTTAGGACCTTGAGCGTGGCTGAAGTGCACCCATGACCAGCTCGGAAACCGGATTGCATAGCGGAGAAGGTACGGTGGGATTCGAAATGGTCGGTGATCTGTTTGTTAACTTGGCTTTCAAATACTTTCGAAAGGCAGGCCAGGATGGATATACAGTGCCCTCCACAATTATTGGCACCCCTGTTTAAGATGTGGTCGAGGACTTCCAGAAAATTCTCCTTTTTTTTTTAAACAACATAGAACCCAAATGCAAAAAAATAGAAAAATCCAACCTTTTATTTAAGTACATTACTTTGGTGTAAAAAAAAATAATCACACATTTAGAAAAAAAAAAAATTGAAATCATGTGTCCCACAATTATTGGCACCCCTGATGTTAATACTTTGTACAACCCCCTTTTGCAAACAAGACAGCACTTAATCTCCTCCTATAACATTTCACAAGATTGGAGAACACAGAGAGAGGGATCTTTGACCATTCTTCTTTGCACAATCTTTCTAGATCATCCAGTGTCCTGGGTCCTCTCTTATGCACTCTCCTCTTTAGCTCGCCCCACAGGTTTTCGATTGGGTTGAGGTCTGGGGACTGAGATGGCCATGGGAGGACCTTGAGTTTGTGACTGCTGAACCATTTTTGTGTAGATTTTGCCACATGTTTTGGATCATTATCCTGCTGAAAGACCCAATGACGACCCATCTTCAGCTTTCTGGCAGAGGCCATCAGGTTTTTATTTAAAATGTCCTGGTAGTTCAAAGCGTTCATAATGCCATGCACCCTAACAAGGTTCCCAGGGCCTTTGGAAGAGAAACAGGCCCACAGCATCACAGATCCTCCACCATACTTCACGGTGGGCATGAGGTGCTTTTCGGCATACTCATCTTTTGTTTTACGCCAGACCCACTTAGAGTGTTTGTTGCCAAAAAGCTCAATTTTAGTCTCATCTGACCAAAGCACATGATCCCAGTTGAAGTCCCAGTGCCGCTTAGCAAACTCCAGACGTTTACGTTTGTGAGTGTTAGTGAGAAAAGGCTTTTTCCTTGCATGCCTCCCAAACAGCTTGTTGGCATGTAGAGAGCGTCTGATGGTTGTTTTGGAGACTTTGTGACCCCAAGATGCCACTCTTTGATGCAATTCTGTGACAGTGAGCTTAGGACTTTTTTTTACTTCTCTTACCATCCTCCTCACTGTGCGTTGTGGCAAGATAAACTTGGGACCTCTTCCAGCCTTGTTTGTCACTGTTCCAGTTGTTTTAAACTTCTTCAAATCAAATCAAATCAAATCAAATTTTATTGGTCACATGCGCCGAATACAACAGGTGCAGACATTACAGTGAAATGCTTACTTACAGCCCTTAACCAACAGTGCATTTATTTTAAACAAAAAAAGTAAGAATAAAACAACAACAAAAAAAGTGTTGAGAAAAAAAGAGCAGAAGTAAAATAAAGTGACAGTAGGGAGGCTATATATACAGTAAAATAAAGTGACAGTAGGGAGGCTATATATACAGGGGGGTACCGTTGCAGAGTCAATGTGCGGGGGCACCGGCTAGTTGAGGTAGTTGAGGTAATATGTACATGTGGGTAGAGTTAAAGTGACTATGCATAAATACTTAACAGAGTAGCAGCAGCGTAAAAAGGATGGGGTGGGGGGGCAGTGCAAATAGTCCGGGTAGCCATGATTAGCTGTTCAGGAGTCTTATGGCTTGGGGGTAGAAGCTGTTGAGAAGTCTTTTGGACCTAGACTTGGCACTCCGGTACCGCTTGCCGTGCGGTAGCAGAGAGAACAGTCTATGACTAGGGTGGCTGGAGTCTTTGACAATTTTGAGGGCCTTCCTCTGACACCGCCTGGTATAGAGGTCCTGGATGGCAGGGAGCTTTGCCCCAGTGATGTACTGGGCCGTACGCACTACCCTCTGTAGTGCCTTGCGGTCAGAGGCCAAGCAGTTGCCATACCAGGCGGGTGATGCAACCAGTCAGGATGCTCTCGATGGTGCAGCTGTAGAATTTTTTGAGGATCTGAGGACCCATGCCAAATCTTTTTAGTCTCCTGAGGGGGAATAGGCTTTGTCGTGCCCTCTTCACGACTGTCTTGGTGTGTTTGGACCATGATAGTTCGTTGGTGATGTGGACACCAAGGAACTTGAAGCTCTCAACCTGTTCCACTACAGCCCCGTCGATGAGAATGGGGGCGTGCTCAGTCCTCTTTTTTTTCCTGTAGTCCACAATCATCTCTTAATGATTCCTCTGACTGTAGATACGGGCAAGTTAAGGCGAGTGGCTATTTTCTTGTAGCCATTGCCTGATTTATGAAGGTCGACACAAATCTGCCTTACTTGAATGGTGTGTTCTCTTGTCTTTGCCATGTTGACAAATGGGTAAGAGAATTAGGCCTCTGTGTCACGTCATATTTATACCCCAGGGAAACAGGAAGTCATGAATTACTAATTAAAAGTTCCTAGATACCCTGACCAACTTTAGCAACTACAGAAAAATATATTTTTTTAAAAATCAATTAAAATTTTCAGCGGAATTGTTAAGGGTGCCAATAATTGTGGGACACATGATTTCAAGTTTTTATTTTTCTAAATGTGTGATTTTTTTTTTTACCACCAAAGTAATGTACTTAAATAAAAGGTTGGATTTTTCTCTTTTTTTGCATTTGGGTTCTATGTTGTTTAAAAAAAAAGGAGAATTTTTGGAAGTCCTCGACCACATCTTAAACAGGGGTGCCAATAATAGTGGAGGGCACTGTAGGTCTGTAACAGTTTGACATGAAGCTGAGCCTTTCATCTCTTGTTGAACCAGTTTATTTATTAACAGGCCTCTATGTTTTATTCTATATCCCCTTTATCAAAATATGTGAGAGGATAGGCGACTGTAGAATATGGGGGTAAACTCTGAAGGGTGCTTGACGGTGAACGGCAGAACATTTGCCGAAGGATCTGACATATTATTGTCAAAATAAACTCTATTAACGATGTCTCTCTCTCTCTCTTTCTCCCTCTTCCTCCCCCCTCTCTCCCGCTCTCCTCTCCTTTCTATAGGTTTCCTGAGTACAGGGGACCAGTCAGCCAAGGGGAACTATGGTCTGTTGGATCAGATCCAGGCCCTGCGTTGGCTCAACGAGAACGTCGGCCATTTTGGGGGCGACCCCGAGCGCATCACCATCTTCGGCTCCGGCGCCGGGGCGTCCTGCGTCAACCTGCTCATCCTCTCGCACCACTCCGAGGGTAAGGGGCACACTGGTGGGTCGCATTCATATTTGATTTGATTTGCTTCTCAGTTCTCAGATTACTTACTCTTACCCAGTAGAGTAAAGATACATGGATGTACTATGTGGTTACTCACAAGGATAGATTGGTTCAAAGTGAGTTCAGAGTGACGTCTTCTTATTCCCCATAGAATACCAGAGCCAAAAGTAGTGCACTACGTAGGGACTAGGATGTCATTTGAGACAGAGAATCAAAGTTTATATTGGGAGCAATGTGGTCCAATAACCTGCAGGCAAACCTTGACACACACACTCCTCTGCTTTGATCATATAATACTACCAGGTATACCCCTCTGTCTGTCTTCAACCTAGAAAAGGGGGGGGGTTTTGGGGGGGTTTTTTGGGGTTTTTTCCCCCTTTTTTTAAAAATCCCCCGGGGTTTTTGGCGGAAAGGAAGCCCCCAAGAGGGGGGGGGGTTTTTTTTTTTGGGGGCAGTTTTTGGGCAAATTTTCGAAAAATTTTTTTTTAGGGGGTTTTTTTTTGGTTGGGGTTGGGGAACCCCCCGGGGGGGGCCCCCCCCCCCCCGGGTTTTTTCCCCGGCCCACTTCTTCCCCCCCCCCCCTCCCCCTTCCCCCACCCCCAAAAACCCCCCTTTCCGGCCTCCCATCTTTCCTTTTTTTCCCCCCAACGGGGAAAATGGCCTTCGGAAATTTTTTTATTAACCGGGTCCGGGGGGAAAAAAAGAAACCCCCAAAAATCCCCCGGGGGAGTGAGCGAGGAGGAGCCACCCCTTATGAGGAAGGAGGTGAAGAACTTGGTGATGGGGGGGGAGATGAGGAGAGAGAGAAGGGGAGGAGAGAGAGGAGAGAGAGTGAGAGAGAGAGAGAGAGAGAGAGAGAGAGAGAGAGAGAGAGAGATCCATCATCACTCTGGGTGTCTCTGTGTCTGAAGATCAAGCTGACCGCCATACAGTATGTATGTCGTGTTGTGTTTGTGTCTGTGTGTGCATGTGTGGTCATGCATGTGTGCAGGTTTTCTGTATATGTTTTTTTATGTATGTGTGTGTGTGTCTATACATGAGATTGTGAGCAAACAACCAGTATAGTATGTGCATGTCCTCCTCTCCTCTCCTCCTAGCCTAACCTACATGTCCTCTCCCCCTCTCCTCCTAGCCTAACCTACATGTCCTCTCCCCCTCTCCTCCTAGCCTAACCTACATGTCCTCTCCCCCTCTCCTCCTAGCCTAACCTACATGTCCTCTCCTCCTCTCTCGTCTCGTCTCATCATTGACTCTTCTCCTCTGCTGCCACTCACCCATACATTAAAACCTGTTCTCTCTACTGTCAAACCCATCTTCATCTTCTTCATCTTCATCACCGTCCTCATCGTCATCTAACACCAGCCCTCCAGACTACTACTCCTCCACCTGTCACTCAAAGCCCCCGGGGTGCCAGGTAAGGAACGCTCTCGCTCCCCACGGGGAACACCAGTCATGTCATCCCACCACTCAACAAATCAACTGTGGCATGATACACACGTGTTTATGGAGGAGAGGGGGATGAGAGGCAAGGGAGAGAGGAGGGGGAAGGGGTTGGGGGGATACAGATCGTTATGATAAGAGCGGGAGAGGGAGGAGAGGGGAGAAGAGAGGGGGGAGGTAGAGGAAGGGAATATGCACAGAGAGGGATGGATGAAAGAGATAAACTGATTAGGATTTAGGATGAAATATAGAGTCACCTCTCTCTCCTTTCTCACACTTTCTCTCACTCTATCAATTCTCACTTACTTTCTCACCCCTCTCTTCAACTACCTCTCCTTCTCTCCTCCCGCCCACCCTTCTCTCTCTCTCTCTCTCCCTCTCCCTCTGTCACGATCGTCAAAAGGAGGAGACCAAAGCGCAGCGTGTTGAGCGAACATCGTAGACTTTATTATAAAGAAACCACGATCAAAACAACAAACCAAATATGACGAAAGTGAAGTTCAATACTGATAATGACTAACAGCAACAAGGAAACAAAAACCCACAAAACCAAGGTGAAACCACACAGTATAAATATGGCTCCCAATCAGAGATAACGAGCCGACAGCTGACACTCGTTACCTCCGATTGGGAGTCATATGACTAAATCAACATCAAAACCAAACATAGAAATGCAACAACTAGATCCCACATAGAACTACACCCAAATGAAAATGACAACCCTGGCTCACTACTAAGAGTCCCGGAGCCAGAACGTCACAGTACCCCCCCCTAAAGGCGCGGACTGCGACCGCGCCTCACAACCCCACAATAGGGGAGGGCTGGGTGGGTGTTGCTCCCCGGAGGCGGTTCCGGCTCCGGGCTTGACCACCACCCCACTATAGTTACTACCCGCTTTCTTAACCTCCTCCCAATGACCACCCTCCACTTAAACCCACCTGGATTAAGGGGCAGCACCGGACTAAGAGGCAGCACCAGGCTGAGGGACAGCACCGGACTAAGGGGCAGCACTGGACTAAGGGGCAGCACTGGACTAAGGGGCAGCACCTGACTAAATGGCGGATCCTGGCTGGCTGGCTCTGGCGGATCCTGGCTGGACGGCTCTGGCGGATCCTGGCTGGACGGCTCTGGCGGATCCTGGCTGGACGGCTCATGGCTGGCTGACGGATCTGGCTGCTCATGGCTGGCTGACGGATCTGGCTGCTCATGGCTGGCGGAAGGCTCTGGCTGATCCCGTCTGGCGGAAGGCTCTGGCTGCTCCTGTCTGGCGGAAGGCTCTGGCTGATCCGGTCTGACGGAAGGCTCTGGCTGCTCCTGTCTGGCGGAAGGCTCTGGCTGATCCTGTCTGGCGGAAGGCTCTGGCTGATCCTGTCTGGCGGAAGGCTCTGGCTGATCCTGTCTGGCGGAAGGCTCTGGCTGATCCTGTCTGGCGGAGAGCTCTAGCGGCTCCGGTCTGGCGGACGGCTCTGAAGGCTCATGGCAGACGGGCGGCTTTGCAGGCTCAGTACAGACGGGTAGTTCAGACGGCGTTGGGCAGACGGACAGTTCAGACGGCGTTGGGCAGACGGGCAGTTCAGGCGCCGTTGGGCAGACGGGCAGTTCAGACGGCGTTGGGCAGACGGACAGTTCAGGCGCCGTTGGGCAGACGGGCAGTTCAGACGGCGTTGGGCAGACGGACAGTTCAGGCCCCGTTGGGCAGACGGCAGACTCTGGCCGTCTGAGGCGCACCGTAGGCCTGGTGCGTGGTGCCGGAACTGGAGGTACCGGGCTGAGGACACGCATCTCAGGGCTAGTGCGGGGAGAAGCAACAGGGCATGCTTGGCCCTGGGGACGCACCGTAGGCCTGATGCGTGGTGCCGGAACTGGAGGTACCGGGCTGAGGACACGCATCTCAGGGCTAGTGCGGGGAGAAGCAACAGGGCATGCTTGGCCCTGGGGACGCACCGTAGGCCTGATGCGTGGTGCCGGAACTGGAGGTACCGGGCTGAGGACACGCATCTCAGGGCTAGTGCGGGAAGCAGCAACAGGGCATGCTTGGCCCTGGGGACGCACATAAGGCCTAGTGCGGAGAGCAGCAACAGGGCATGCTGGACCCTGGGGACGCACATAAGGCCTAGTGCGGAGAGCAGGAACAGGCCGGGCCGGGCTGGCGACGCGCACCGTATCTCTGGTGCGAGAGGCCGGAACAGGCCGGGCCGGGCTGGCGAAGCGCACCGTATCCCTGGTGCGTGGAGTAGGAACAGGCCGGGCTGGGCTGGCGACGCGCACCGTATCCCTGGTGCGAGTGGCCGGAACAGGCCGGGCCGGGCTGGCGAAGCGCACCGTATCCCTGGTGCGTGGAGTAGGAACAGGCCGGGCTGAGCTGGCGACGCGCACCGTATCCCTGGTGCGAGTGGCCGGAACAGGCCGGGCCGGGCTGGCGAAGCGCACCCTATCCCTGGTGCGTGGAGCAGGAACAGGCCGGGCTGGGCTGGCGACGCGCACCGCATCCCTGGTGCGAGTGGCCGGAACAGGCCGGGCCGGGCTGGCGTAGCACACCGTGGACCTGGTGCTTGGAGTAGGAACAGGCCGGTCCGTACCGGGAACACACACCACTGGCCTCAACCGAGGATCAGGAACGGGCCGGACCGGACTGGCAACACACATCAGTCTTTCACGCCGTGCCACACACACTTCCCTCCCTCTACTCGCCAATGGCTCCCGTACTCCGTTAGCCTTCTCTCCTTTTCTCCCTGTGGCAGCCTCCTGCTGCCCAGCCGCCCAAGCCATGTGCCCCCCCCCAAATTTTTTTTGGGGTTGCCTCCCGTCCTTCCGACGATGGCCCTGCCGATGCCGTTGCTCCTCTCGCCGTCGCCTCTCCACCGTCTCGTTCCATGGTCGGCGATCCATACCATCCAGGATCTCCTCCCAAGTCCAGGACCCTTTACCGTCCAACAGTTCCTCCCATGTCCAGACCCTTTGCTCCTGGACGCGCTGCTTGGTCCTTTTATGGTGGGTTTTTCTGTCACGATCGTCAAAAGGAGGAGACCAAAGCGCAGCGTGTTGAGCGAACATCGTAGACTTTATTATAAAGAAACCACGATCAAAACAACAAACCAAATATGACGAAAGTGAAGTTCAATACTGATAATGACTAACAGCAACAAGGAAACAAAAACCCACAAAACCAAGGTGAAACCACACAGTATAAATATGGCTCCCAATCAGAGATAACGAGCCGACAGCTGACACTCGTTACCTCCGATTGGGAGTCATATGACTAAATCAACATCAAAACCAAACATAGAAATGCAACAACTAGATCCCACATAGAACTACACCCAAATGAAAATGACAACCCTGGCTCACTACTAAGAGTCCCGGAGCCAGAACGTCACACCCTCCCCCTCTCCCTCTCCCTCTCCCTCTCCCTCTCCCTCTCCCTCTCCCTCTCTCCTCTATGAGGAGTAATGCTGAAGTCGCAGGTAGGGCCACACGCTCCCTAATAGTCTTCCCTGGGAAAGAGGCTCTGCTCTGCGTCACTGCTTAATTATTCACCAGGAGTCTACAGGAGAGGAAAGGAGTGTGGAGGAAGACAGCAATACCAAGGAGGAAGAGAGGGAGGAATGAGAGCGCCCTCCTGTAACGAGGCACCACAGACAGAGAAAAAAAAAAAAGAATCTATGGAAAAGAGGAAGGGAAAATGTTTATTTAATAAGAGGCAGACTGTGCAGTCCCCCATCGATTCCCCAGTCTGGGCTGAATCTCATACAGTATCATCTCAACTATGAGATTGGTGGAGTTTAAAGCACATTACTTTCTATCTGATTTGTTACAGTGACTAAGATATAGGAAAAATATAAAAAGTTGTGGAGGGAAAAGGGAACAAACGTTCACAACCTAACTAAGTATTCTTTAGAATATTAGCTTATCTTTTACGGAAGGAAAAGAGACAATGAGAGGAAAGCTTCTTTAGACTATTGAGATGCAACCTTGTCTGCTACTGTAATAATCTAACATGTATAGTACACTTTAGGCCGTATTCAATTTTTTGACCCAAAAAAAGGGAATGTCCGCTCACCTTTTCTCTATGTATAGGATCTTGTTTTGTCCTGCTCCTTTCAGATTCACTTATCTAACTTCTCCTTCCACTCTCTGTCCTCCAGGTCTGTTCCAGAGAGCTATAGCCCAGAGTGGCTCAGCCATCTCCAGCTGGTCGGTCAACTACCAGCCCCTCAAGTACACCAAGATACTGGCCCGGAAGGTGGGCTGCAGCCATTCAGAGACAGCAGAATTGGTGGACTGCCTGAGGAAGAAGAATTTCAGGGAGCTGGTGGATCAGGACATCCAGCCGGCCCGCTACCACATCGCCTTCGGACCCGTAGTGGATGGAGACGTGGTGCCGGACGACCCTGAGATACTCATGCAGCAGGTGGGTTGGTGGGTGGGGAGGGGGATTGCTGGAGCAGAGGGTGAGTGTGTTGTTGGGGGTAGGGATGGGGTGGAGGTCTGTGTGGGTATATTAGTCATTGCTCTCTCTGACTGCAGAGACAGAGGTATTCTATTGGTTCTGATGAAATCTCAGTGCCAGAGTTACCAAGAGTAAAATGTAAAAATATAAATGTTATGATAAGACATTACTATAATGTTTAAGTGTGATTTAAGACTTTTTGGTGATTATAGTGCTTTTCAAGGTGCCCAAAGTGCTTAAATTTTATGAGGCAGTAAAACTAATCTCATCCACTGCTAACGTGTCGACACACCTAACATGTCTTTCCCTCTTTTTGCCACAAGGGGGAGTTCCTGAACTATGACATCCTGATAGGAGTGAACCAGGGAGAGGGGCTGAAGTTTGTAGACGACAGTGAAGACAACGATGGGATCTCAGCTGCAGCGTTCGACTACACCATCTCTAACTTTGTGGACAATCTCTATGGATATCCTGAGGGTAATGGTCTCTATATCCCTATTAATTGTAAACTGTCATTGTCAAAACATATTGATTCAATGGTTGTAAAGATGGGGAGAGGTCTGTCCGTGATAAAAACTCCACAAAGCAAGTCCTTATCTTGATTATTGTCCAGTCATATGGTCAGGTGCTGCAAAGAAGAACCTAGAAAAACTGCAGCTAGCCCTGTACAGAGCAGCACGTCTTTTTTGTCACTGTAATCAGAGGGCTAATATCAATACTGTGCATGCAAGTCTCTCTTGGCTAAAAGTAAAGGAGACACTGACTGCATCACTTCTTATTTTTATAAGAAACATTCATGTTTTGAAAATTCCAAATTGTTTGCATAGTCAACTTACACACAACTCTGACACACACACTTACCCCAACAGACATGCCACCAGGGGTCCTTTCACACTCCCCAATTCCAGAACAAATTCAAGAAATTGTACAGTACTATGTAGAGCCATGATTTCATGGAACTCCCTTCCATCTCAGATTCCTCAAGTGAACAGCAAACCTGGTTTCAAAAAACAGCAACACCTCGCTGCACAACGCCTCTCCCCTATTTGACCTAGATATGTTGTGTGTATGCACTGATATGTAGGCTATGTGTGACATTTTAAATGTACGTAGTTCTATCCTTGAGCTGTTCTTGTCTATAAATGTTCTGTATTATGTCATGTTTCATGTTTTGTGTGGACCCCAGGAAGAGTAGCTGCTGCTGTCGCAACAGCTAATGGGGATCCTAATAAAATACAAAAATACCAATACCAATTAATGTACAGCTTTTTATAAAGTATTGTGTAAAGTAACAATATAATAACAATAATAATAATATCATAACAATATAATTCATAACCACTAGAGAGGAACGATGTGTCTCAAAGCCAAGTTCTGTGGTTTACTGTTTGGTAAAAACGTATCTTTAACCTTCAATTCACTATCATGTGCCTCTTTCTCTGAACCCTCCCTTTCTCTCCCTTTCTATATTCTCTCTCTATTTCTCTATTTGCTCATCCTCTCCTTTTCGCTCATCCTCTCCCCTTCGCTCATCCTCTCCCTTTCGCTCATCCTCTCCCTTTCGCTCATCCTCTCCCCTTCGCTCATCCTCTCCCCTTCGCTCATCCTCTCCCTTTCGCTCATCCTCTCCCCTTCGCTCATCCTCTCCCCTTCGCTCATCCTCTCTCTTTCGCTCATCCTCTCCCCTTCGCTCATCCTCTCCCTTTCGCTCATCCTCTGGCTCCGTTTGTATGTCTCTTTCTCAACTTCCCTCTCTTGAACTCTCACTCTCTCTTGTATCAAACCTCCCTCCCTGTCCCCCTCTCCCTCTCCTCCCCTCCTCTCTCTCCCTCCCTCCCCTCTACCCACTGCCCCTCTCACCCCTCTCCCTTTCCTCCCACCACCCTCCTCCCTCTCCTCCCCTCTAGGTAAGGACATCCTGAGAGAGACCATTAAGTTCATGTACACTGACTGGGCCGACCGTGACAACGGAGACATGAGGAGAAAAACCCTTCTTGCCCTGTTCACGGACCACCAGTGGGTGGCGCCAGCGGTGGCCACGGCCAAACTGCACGCCGAGTTCCAGTCTCCCGTTTACTTCTACACCTTCTACCACCACTGTCAGACGGAGACGCGGCCGGAGTGGGCGGACGCGGCCCACGGGGATGAGATCCCCTATGTGTTCGGGGTGCCCATGATCGGAGCCACCGACCTGTTCCCCTGCAACTTCTCTAAAAATGATGTCATGCTCAGTGCTGTAGTCATGACGTACTGGACGAACTTTGCTAAGACGGGGTAGGTGGTGAACGGTAGAGGATAGAAGGTGGAAAGAATGGTTTGCCCTCCCTGCTCTTGAGGACTATATCATTTAGGGCTCAATTAAATCCGTATCACCGAAATTCAGCACTATAGCCCGCTTGAAATGTAAAGGTAATTTCCGATTGAGCCAAACTGCAGCTAACCCATAAGAGTCTATATGGAATTGTTTTAAGAAGGTCATTTGATTTTGATTTTGAATTTTAAGACCCCTTGAAGTTGATGACAAATAATTCTTGGCCTTACTTCTATTAGCCCATACAAACACATTGAATAACAGATTCACTACATGGAACCACAGATAGTCCCCAAAACAAAATCTAAAGGAAGTTTGCTCTGAAGCGTCTGTCCTATATCTGAGAGATATAACAAAGATCAGGAAACATTTGTTATTTGTTTTTACATGTATTTAACCCCTTATTTTTGGCACTAAACAGTCTCCGTATTCGGAAAGTATTCAGACCGCTTGACTTTTTCCACATTTTGTTAAGTTACAGCCTTATTCTAAAATGGAATAAAACACTTTTTTCCCTCCTCACTCTCCACACAATACCCCATAATGACAAAAGCCAAAACAGGTTTGTAGAAATATTTGCAATTGTATTAAAAATAAAAAACAGAAATACCTTATTTACATAAGTATTCAGACCCTTTGTTATGAGACTCAAAATTCAGCTCAGGTGCATCCTGTTTCCATTGATCATCCTTGAGATGTTTCTACAACTTGATTGAAGTTCACCTGTGGTAAATTCAATTGATTGGACATGATTTGGAAAGGCACACACCTGTCTATATAAGGTCCCACAGTTGACAGTGCATGTCAGAGCAAAAACCAAGCCATGAGGTCGAAGGAATCATCCGTAGAGCTCCGAGACAGGATTGTGTCGAGGCACAGATCTGGGGAAGAGTACCAAAAATGTTCTGCAGCACTGAAGGTCCCCAAGAACACAGTGGCCTCCATCATTCTTAAATGGAAGAGGTTTGGAACCACCAAGACTCTTCCTAGAGCTGGCAGACTGGCCAAACTGAGTAATCGGAGGAGAAGGGCCTTGGTCAGGGAGTTGACCAAGAACCCAATGGTCACTCTGACAGCGCTCCAGAGTTCCTCTGTGGAGATGGGAGAACCTTCCAGAAGGACAACCATCTCTGCAGCACTCCACCAATCAGGCCTTTATAGTAAAGTGGCCAGACGGAAGTCACTCCTCAGTAAAAGGCACATGACAGCCCGCTTGGAGTTTGCCAAAAGGCACCTAAAGACTCTCAGACCATGAGAAACAAGATTCTCTGGTCTGATGAAATCAAGATTGAACTCTTTGGCATGCATGCCAAGCATCACGTCTGGAGGAAACCTGGCACAATCCGTACGGTGAAGCATGGTGGTGGCAGCATCATACTGTGGGGATTTGTTTCAGCGGCAGGGACTGTGAGACTAGTCAGGATCGAGGGAAAGATGAAAGGAGCAGAGTACAGAGAGATCCTTGATGAAAACCTGCTGCAGAGTGCTCAAGACCTCAGACTGGGGCGAAGGTTCACTTTCCAACACGACAACGACCCTAAGCACACAGCCAAGACAACGCAAGAGTGGCTTTGGGACCATTCTCTGAATGTCCTTGAGTGGCCCAGCTAGAGCCCGGACTTGAACCCAATCTAATATTTCTGGAGAAACTTGAAAATAGCTGTGCAGCGACACTCCCCATCCAACCTGACAGAGCTTGAGAGGATCTGCAGAAAAGAATGGGAGAAACACCCCAAATACAGGTGTGCCAAGCTTGTAGCGTCATACCCAAGAAGACTCAAGGCTGTAATCGCTGCCAAAGGTGCTTCAACAAAGTACAGAGTAAAGGGTCTGAATACTTATGTAAATGTAATATTTCATTTTATTTTATTTTTTTGTTGAAAAAAAATCTAAAAACCTGTTTTTGCTTTATTATTATAGGTCACAATTTAATCCATTTTAGAATGAGGCTGTAACGTAACAAAATGTGGAAAATGTCAAGGGGTCTGAATACTTTCCGAATGCACTGTATAATACCAGTTGAAAATATTTATGGACGAGTCTTGTGAGGCCTATGGGCGTCCTAGAGAAACACAACCAACATGTTCGTGAGAGTCTCACCTTTCCACAGAGGGGTCATATTAGTGTGTTTGCCCAAACTGTTTGGACGCTACAGACAGAAATTGGCAGATCGAGGGGTCATAATATTTTCTAGGCCAAACTGTTTTGACACTACAGCTGATTTTGTGAGAAGACGGATTTCCGGTATGTCTCATGGTCTGACATGCACCGCTCTAGCTCTGCCACCTTCCACCGCAGATGTGAAAGTGCGACATAAGTGGATTGAGACGCATCCAATGCAGATATCTCTAACTTAAACTGATGGATTTTTATGGGGATGCATTCCACCTTAGGGGTTGAGGGGTTGAATGCAGTCTCCGCTAAGGCAGGAACATTGCCTTTACATTTAAATTATACTGCTGAACTTTGGCGATACGGATTGAATCGAGCCCTTAGTCTTTGATTTGCAGCCATAACAAGTGTATCATACTATATGCAGGGGTGAAAGTAAGCTGGTACTGTCTGGTACGAAGTACCAGAAAAATAAATAGATGACCGGTTTAACATGAGCCTATCACAATAATTAAAACAAGAATGCCAAGAAAACTGCTATTACACTATTATTTATCATTACGGCATGTCAGTCGCATGAAAAATGTGCGAATGGACTTGAAAACGTGTGGAATACGCTCCAAAATGCGGTGTGGTTTGACAAACAGTGACATTTTGCAAAGGCCGAGTTGATTGGCCGAGGCAGAGACGCGCGCGGACAGTGGAGGCATCAATTACTGAATGTCATTCATTAGACTTTTGGTGTTTTGTTACAGATGTTTCTTTCTGTTCCTCAAATATTATGTGCACAGTGCACTGTATGGATGAGGGAATTATGAATGAATACGAGCAGGTAGCCAGGCGTACAGGAGCCTTGTGAACTGATTGTTTGACAATCAGATGAAAACATCATGACTGGTTATGTTAATGGAACATTAAAAGGTAATACATTTTAACAGTAAAATGACAAAATCTCTACTATTAGGCTCACGGAGATCCTATTAAATCAATAGGGATTCTATATGTAATTCTATGTTTAGGCCCGTGCACACAGGAGGTTCCACACCCGGAATAAATTAAATCTACAAAAAATGCATGTTTTAATGTCAAATTCAAGAGATTGTTTAACAGTATAATATACTATATAGTGTCTGTGTGTAATAACTTTGGAATACCTTTGATTGAAACCATCTAAGTGAGATTTTTATTCATCCTCTTTCTCCTCCAGGGACCCCAACCTGCCGGTGCCTCAGGACACCAAGTTCATCCACACCAAGCCCAACCGCTTCGAGGAGGTCATCTGGACCAAGTTCAACTCCAAGGACAAGCAGTACCTCCACATCGGCCTGAAGCCCCGCGTCCGAGACAACTACCGGGCCAACAAGGTGGCCTTCTGGCTGGAGCTGGTCCCTCATCTCCACTCCCTCCACGACGAATTCCCCCCTACCACCAGGCTACCTCCAGGCAGCACCCGCCCCCCCGGGGTCCCCTGGAAGCCCAAACCCCGCACCACGGGCCACCCCTACCCCACCTTCCCTGACCCCGTGGAGCCCTACGGATCAGAGCGGCCCAGACTGGACCTGTTCCCTGGTGACACGCGGGATTATTCCACAGAGCTGTCGGTGACAGTGGCGGTGGGGGCGTCGCTACTCTTCCTCAACATCCTAGCGTTTGCCGCGCTCTACTACAAGCGGGACAAGCGGCAGGAGATGCGGCGCCACCGGCTCTCCCCGCAACGCCACGGCGGGCCCGCCAATGACCTGGCGCACAGCCAGGAGGAAGAGATCATGTCCCTGCAGATGAAGCACTCGGAGCACGACCCCCACCACGACATGGAGCCCCTCCGGCCCCACGACATCCTGCGGCCCGCCTGCCCGCCCGACTACACCCTGGCCCTGCGGAGAGCCCCAGACGACGTGCCCCTCATGACCCCCAACACCATCACCATGATCCCCAGCACCATCACCGGCATGCAGCCCCTCCACCCTTTCAACACCTTCCCCAGCACCGGCCACAACAACACCCTGCCCCACCCCCACTCCACCACACGCGTATAGTAAAGCTAGAGCTCCCCCTGGAGGACCAGAGGACCAACTACTACACGCTCTGGCTCCCTCTCTATGGATAGCTATCTCTCTCTCTTACTCTCTGTTTCTCCAACCGTCAGCCTGCTGCCCTGATGCTGTGTATTTCCTACAGTGCCACCTGCTGGGGTTAAGTGGAAATGCAGCTGAACTGCAGAGGCAGCAGATGTTATGGGGGGGGCATTGAGACATTTAGAAACTATTTTGATGGGGTCTCGTATTCTCTGATTCTCTGACTCTGACAGCCCCCAAACCTTCCCAGAGGACAATCCTCTTACTGTGCTTTTCATTTTGTCGTTTTTAATAGGGTTGGGGATTGTTTTTTGGGGTGTTGGGTAAAGTGACCTCTGATATATTGGAAACCCTCTCTCTCTCTCTACTCATGTCATCTGCTGTCTTCTCTTTTCTACATCCATCTCTTTCCCTCCTCTGTAGTTCTAACAACCCCAAAATTAACCCCTCAGCCCACCCTTATGGATTGTTGGGAGTCTTTTTCATACAAGGCATACAGTACATACAGTTAGCATCTATCATGAAAATATTGATATTCTGATATCGTCTTTCTACCAGCATTCTTGGTGCCAAGTACTGTGTTGTTTTCCCATAGGAGGGAACTGAGAGAGAATAAAGAGTGTGGAGCTGTATCAAGATAGCCTACTGACTGTGTGTTCATGAAAGTGCCAATTTGGCCTATCTTGTGTGCTTTTTTCTTTGATTGTTTGATTGATTGTTGCTTTCAGTTCTTATTTTTTTGTGGAAATAATTATAAGTATATAGATATATAGATATATAGTTATACATAAATGTGTACAAAGAAGAAGATATATAAATGGTTTTCTCAGTAGGGATCTATGCATGAATTATTTTTTTAAACTATGATGAGGAAAGGACACTGGATAGTCAATGTTTCCACACACGTCTCCTGTTTTAAACCATTTCTATCTCTATTTCATATGCTTTTTCTTCATATTTTATTTTCAAAAGCTAAAAATGGAGGCAATTAAAAAAAACTGCACGGGCGCTTCTTTGATTTGCACAATTATCCTTTACAACAACAGAAACCTGACTGGAACAAACATGATTAAAAATAATGATCATACACATTGATTATATAACACGTTGCGTATCATCAACATCTCCCATGCACATTGCTTACTGTCTACTATTGCACTATAGACCACATGCTACCCCAAACAAATCAACTACCCCAGTAAATCAAATCAATCTTTATTCATACAACACATTTCATACAAAGCGGGTGCAAACTAATGCGCTTTACCAAAAGAAACAAGACCACATATCAGTCACACAGAGACCCCTCTTTCCCTTCCTTCCTGTCTCACATCCTCCTCCTGCTCTATCATCAGGCCAGGGCCCCTGAGGGCCCCTCTTATATAATGGAAGATATTGGTGCCACTGTAGCAGCTCTGTGTTTGTCTCGTAATAACCAGGCCATCCACTGAGCCTTGGGCCCCTGTCTCTCTGTGAGTCATTATGGCAGGCATGGAAGCCATAAGCTGCCACTGAAAAGGCATCCTATTCCCTATATAGTGCCAGTCAGGCCAAAAGTAGTGCACTATAGGGATTAGGGTGTGGTTTTGGACACATACCTAGAGGTATTGGTGTCCATTATGCTCTGGCCAAAAGAAGTGCACTATGTAGGGGATAGGGTGCCCTCGAGGTATTGGTTCTGCGGGTGGAGCTATTGAAGGTACATACAGTACTCGAGTCTTGGATCCTCATAGAACATGACTTTCCTCATTCTGTTAGTATGAAGGAGAGAAAAGGACAGGCAGTTCTCACTATCCCTCCTTCTTTCACACATTCTCTCCTATCTTCGCCTCTATTTCCAGCACATATATATTCTGTTTGATGTGTGTGTGCGTGCGTGTGTGTACGTACATGTCAGCTTCACAGGGGCATGGGTAATTAGAGTGCAGAGAGAATGATGGAGGGAGACAGAGAGGGAGAGAGAAAGCGAAAGAGAGAGAGAGAGAGACAGACAGACAGACAGACAGACAGACAGACATCTCAACTCAGAGGCTCATCCCCATGATGCGAACCCCCACTCCAAAATAAAATGTATCCAACTGCTTCCACACACACTCCTCCATTCTTCCTCCCATTCTATTTTCCCCATCCCTTTCTCCTTTCCTCCACCAGTAAACACCATTTTGATTCAAGCTGCTATGCTCGCAATTTCACGAACTATGAGTAATAGCTACACGTATGTGAAGAGTTGAGTAGAACTCACAGACTTTTCAACTCATAACTTCACTGTGTACAGTCATTGAACCCTGCATCTCCTGACCCTTCACCCCAGACCCCTCACCCTGCCTCACCCTGTTGCTCCCACATCCCCTTAGATCCACCGCTGTACATGTAATTCTAAGAACACTGAGCAAGACTGGGGGTCTGTCAGCCAGGCCAGGTCTGGGATAACAAAGCTGGGAGAGGACCTTAGACCAAGGGGCAGCAAAGTGATCAGTTGTTGCTGGTTTTTGGTTTTTCTTTCTTTTTGAACAGGGAGAAGCATGTAAAAGTCGAGGGAAAGTCTATTGATAACGCCCCTGTCTGTAATGCTCTAACATGGCCAGTAGAGGGGGCTGATGGGTTAATATGATTAATCCCACATTACAGAACTGTAGAGCTGTGAGTGTGAACCCACAGTGCACTGTATCCTCTATGGGAAACCGTTAGCGACGGTGTTGTGTCTATGCTTGTGTTTAGCTTTTGGACTTTTCTTTGGTTTCAATTTCATTACTGCTTGAGGACTGTGGAGGGGAGAATGTGAGAGAACACACTGGTAGAGTCGGACTGTGTTAGCCTACTGAGAGAGACAGTGTGTGGCGGGAAAATGGGGGAATGAACAGCTGCACAATATACTGTAACACAGACTGGACTGGGGTTGGGGTCAGTGGAGGTAGAGCTGGACCAGGGAGAGTCAGTGGAGCTAGAGATGGACTTAATACAAGCTGTGTTCTTGGACTAGAAAAAGAAACCTGGGAGAGAGACTCAAAGCATCCAAGTCATCATCACAGCCTTAAACAAAGGGGAAAGGTTGTGAGATGTGACTGGTCAACTGGGACAGTGGACAGACTAAGGCACCAACATCTTATTTGATCGATGGAAGCGATCGGAGTCTGTCCTATGAAGAGTCTTTGTGCCATTAGATCCTAGAGAACTTTTTATACTTATTCATGTGAATAAGAGGGCAATGGGAGGTCGAAGAGGAATCTACTACTAGTACAAATACAACAAAACTTCAACCAATAGGAGAAGAGCGACAGAAGCTATTTCCTTTTTTCTGTTATTTTCCTTGTCTATTTTATAGGTTTACACACTAGAGGGCGCCATGGTGACACATAATCACCATAACAACCTACCTGTCAGCCTCTGAACATTCTGAATGTGGAGGAATACATTGTTGCGTGATACAGAGACATGTCAAAAAAGAGGAGCAAAACTGTACATTTGTAAGTGTAAGAACAAACAGGCAAAAATATTTGTAAATATTACGTTTCTTGTTTGTTTTTTAGAGTGAATGAAATGACTTACTTTGTGACAACAACAGAGACAACAGGTGCAAGTTGATAAGGGACCACCAGCTAGTATTGCACCTCCACTGTACACCATTCTAATATATTCACTGCTGAACTCTTTTGAAGGATTCAGGAAAGTCCGATTCTAGTTCTATTAGCCCTGTGTTGTCAGTGCAGAAGTGGGTAGATAATGGACGTTCAGAACAGTCATATAGAGTTGTCTATGTAGCATCTTGACTAAGCAAACACCCTAGCAGGGATACTGACCCATTCTTACTCTGTGCTGTTGTTTATATGGTCTCTCTCCCACATTCAAATGGGATATGCATAACTGCAGGCCTTTATTAGCTGTCTACCACACCGGCATATCTGTATGATGATGTAGGATACCTTAAAGGTGGAATCTGTAATTCCCACTTTCCCCTATGGCAACTACAAACATGGCCAAGAAACAGTGTAAAAACAAAAGCAGGGGCACTTTTACCAGAAATTAAAGTTACAGAGTGCACCTTTAAAAACAACCTTGTGGCTTCTGGAGTTTGGAAATGCACTCCCTGTTGACTCTCGTAGTGTAACATAGCCCCAAATCCACAGGGGGATAGAGAAACGAGGCTTTTTGTAACCTAAGATGCCTCTGATCTAACCTGGTCCCAGATCTGTTTGTGCCATCTTGCCAACTCCTACAGTCATAGTCACGACTAGGAGTTGACTAGACAGCACAAACAGATCTGGGACCAGGCTACATCCTATCCTCATCGGAAATCCCATACACATGTCCCCCTGAATACACTGCGTGACGTACAATGTGTGTATGTGTCCTGTTCATGTAGGTTGTGCTATCTCTACCACAGTGACCTCATCAACAGCTATTGGTGCAGCTACGCTTGCCTTCCAGAAGGAATGAGTTGCTTTGACCATTGCACACCTAGTGGCCAGATGGTTGAACTACATGACAAGACATGCATAGGTGTAGACCTGGAAGTGAGTGTGAGTGTATAGGTGAGAGCATGTTAGGATAGCTCATGTGGTGTGTATGCGTAGGTGTGTACTCTATATGGTTGTAGCCTTAGTTAGGACTTACACACAGGGAGCAGATATCTAGTGTTAGTTTAAGATGACTTTGAAACAATTGAACCGACCCCCAAAAAATCCATATTGGATTTTAATGTATTATTCCTCGCACTCAGACCACGAAGAAAGTCATTATTTTTGGTGCAAAACCAATTTTGTTGACAGTGTGTTCATTTTCAATGATAAACACCACATCAGTTGTTAAAGCATTATAAATCAGTTATTATCATAGTTTTATAGATTTGCCAGAGCGGTGCTCTGTTGAAAAACACCTGTTCTGAAATAAAAGGGGCAGAATGTAACAATGTTTCATGTAAGTGAATTCCCTGCCTTGCTTGTGACTACGTGTCATGGTTGACCTTCAAAACAGAGAAAGGTTTGTCTATGCTATGGTCTACGTACCTGAGTCCAGTTATACTGAAGCACATGACAATAACCCTGGGAAACATTCTGAGCTGGGTGTCAGTTCGGCCTGCAGAGCAACATTTGCACCTGTTGTCTCCTTTTGACTTTCTTTATTGAATTAAGAAACCCAAGACTTGAGATGAAGAAAACATGTAAAAAATTGATTTAAAAAAAGAGCATTATTAAAAAGGTAAAATAAAACTATATAAATAAGGTGATGATATTTCTGTTTAGTTATGACACTGTATGCTGTGATTCTGATGCGGGGTACATAAAGACGTTCATAGCCAGGCTGTCGAGTACGTCTCTTCATTTACCTAATGCAACACCTCAACTTCATTCATAACACTGCTTCTTCCATTAAAGCCCCGCTAAAGCAAACATTCACTTTTTTCAGCTGAAAGACGATCCCCAGAGTTTACCCATGGTGTTGCACAATGATTTAAGCCAATAAGTAATTGTTTTAGTCAAAGTATGATATGGGCTTGAAGTGGGAAATCCGAAGTTCTAATACTTTTCAGACTACGTTTCTTTTCAGGGCTGGGTTTTATTTAAAATGTTACCACCCACCAGCATGGCATTGTTTTATTTGTATTTATTTTATTTTAATATTTTTATTCACAGTGAATGAAAGATAGAAAGTAAAGACATTGTAAATGTTTCCCCTTTTTGTCCCCCTCCTCCCATCCCCCCTCCCCAGAATGCCCCAAACACATTTAAAAAGAAAGGGAAAGTCATTGAGTTACAGAAAACAACACAAAAGTATACAACAATGTTACTTCAATACAAAGCAAAAACGTAATAGCCTAACAATTCCAGGTGATCAGGTGATCTTCTAGGCCTGTATATATCAGTAACCTCAAGGGGGTGGGGGTGGGGCCAAGAGCACTAGCTGGAGGAAGTCTTTGGAGCTGTTCAAAATAGGATATCATCGGGTCCCAGGTGGAATAAAATGAGTTGGTTGACCCTCGAATGGTATACTTAATTCTTTCTAATTAAGAGGAACAGCATAACATTTTTGAGCCAAAGAGAGGTTAAGGGAGGATTGATAGATTTCCAATCCAATAAAATCCTTCTGCGGGCCAACAGGGTGGCAAAGGCAATGGCATCTAGCTGTCTATTGGTCAGAGAAAGGATTGTTGTTTGGTACAAAAAAAAGAAGCAATTTCTGCACCAGGCTGAAACTCTATATCAAATGCTTCAGAAAGGGTTTTAAATAAATAATAGTGGACCAATAGTCTGCCAGATGGGGACAGGACCAGAACATGTGAGTCAAGTCTGCCAAATAGCTTTTACACCTGTCACATGTACCATTAATATTTGGGGAGAATTTGGACAATCTGGCCTTAGTGAAATGGATACGGTGAAGTACCTGAAACTGTATAAGGCTGAGCCGGGCACAAGAGGAGCTTCCATTTACCCTTTAAGTAAGGCACTATTCCAGACTTCGTCAGAGATCTCTCCACCAAGTTCCTTTTCCCACTCAGATCGGATTTTATTAAGTGACAGGTTATCAAGGGACATGATTGTCTAAAAAATACGGGATATGAGTCCCTTTCGTTGATAAGGTGTTTTCAAAAGGGCATCCAAGCCATCAATATAAAGGTCATTAAACGTAAACTTAGTAAGGCCATTCCTCTGCCACAGCCTAAAAGCTGAATCAAGTTTGCCTGGACGGAAGAGGTGATTATTACATATAGGACTTTGAATAGAGAAATCACAGAATTTAAAATGTTGGTGGAATTGAGCCCAAATTTTAAGAGTATTGTCAACAATTGGATTGGATGTGTAGCACGAAGCTGAAAGAGGGAGATTGGAGGTGACTAAAGCTGACAATGAGGAGGAGAAACAGGAGTTGGCTTCTGTTTGACACCAATCAGTTTCTGGGGTGTGAAGCCAGTAAACAATCTGTTGTATATTCGCTGCCCAGTAATAATACATCAAGTTATGAAGAGCTAGTCCTCCATGTGTTCTATCTCTGGAGGAATGCTTTATGTATTCTTGGACTCCCACTGCCCCATAAAAAAAGATAAGCTTATCCACTAAAGTGATAAAAGACTTTGGTAGAAAAAGAGGGAGACATTGTAACACATACAGATATCTGGGCAATACATTCATCTTGACACTATTCACTTTACCAGCTAAAGTAAAATAGAGAATACTCCATCTCTGAAAGTTCAGTTTGGAGGGAAGACAAGAGAGGTGAGCAATTTTGCATATATTTTAACATATACATTTAAAAGTGAGATCGGTCTGTATGAGCCAAACGCAGATGCATCTTTGCCGGGTTTTAATAAAAGTGTGATCGACGCCTCTCTCAGGTTTTGGGGTAAAATACCCTGGTCCAGGGTGTTTTCAAACATTTCAAGCAGGAGGGGTGCCAGTTAGGCAGAAAACTTGTTGTAGAATATGATTGAGTAGCCATCTGGGCCAGGGGATTTCCCACTTTGCATTGCTGTAATTTAATTAATAATATCCTCTAATTGCAAAGGTTGATCAATTTCCTCTCTTCTCTGTACTAATGGTAGGAGTTTCCAAATTGTCAAGAAAATCATTCATAATTTAATTGTCTTCAAGTGATTCTGATGTGTAAAGATCTGAATAAAATGTTTTGAAAGTATTATTGATTTCAGTGGGACTAACTGTTAAAACACCTGCGGTGTTGTGAATTTGAGGGATCAGCTGCGAGGCAGATTTGCACTTGAGTTGATGAGCTAGAAGTCGACCAGCCTCAAAACCGCGTGCGCGGAGTAGCTTCTGCTCAGCCTTATCCGTGGATAGTAAATTGTACTGAGATTGAAGACTCTGCCTATCTTTGTAAAGTTCTGGTGATGGAGAGGCGGAGTTCTGTTGGTCTAATTCCAGAATGGCATCGATCAGCTGTTGTTGTTTAATTTTCCGTTGTTTATTGAGAAGAGAGGAATAGGACATTATTTTGCTTCTTAGAATAACTTTAAGTGTAGATGGAGACATCAATTGCATTTAATCGAACGGTGCAGAATTAATTGTTTGAAAATAAATGAGTTAAGTCTCCATGGAGGACAAGAGCATGGCAGTTTATTAATCAGAAACACCTGCAAAGTTCTTCCTCATCACGAGTCGCGACTGAGCTGAGCCAAAAGGACTTTCGATGTCCACTTGAGCCATGGAGCAAATAAAAATACGGGGTACAAAGGTGGGATGGCATATCACTGTAGAATGCCGTGGTAGCCATGCTGGTTAATTGTGCATTGAATTCTAAATAAATCACAGACAGTGTCACCAGCAAAGCACCCCCACACCATAACACCACCTTCTCCATGCTTTACGGTGGGAATACACATGCGGAGATCATCCGTTGGAACCAAAAATCTCAAATTTGGACTTGTGTTTCTTGGCCCAAGCAAGTCTCTTCTTCTCATTGGTGTCCTTTAGCAGTGTGTGAAGCATTTATTTGGGCTGCAATTTCTGAGGCTGGTAACTCTAATGAATTTATCCTCTGCAGCAGAGGTAACTCTGGGTCTTCCTTTCCTGTGGCGGTCCTCATGAGAGCCTGTTTCATCATACCGCTTGATGGTTTATGCATCAGCACTTGAAGAAACTTTCAAAGTTCTTGAAATTGTATGTATTGACTGACCTTCATGTCTTAAAGTAATGATGGACTGTTGTTTTTCTTTGCTTATTTGAGCTGTTCTTGCCATAATATGACTTGGTCTTTTACCAAATAGGCTATCTTCTGTATACCCTCCTACCTTGTCACAACACAACTGATTGGCTCAAACGCATTAAGAAGGAAATAAATTCCATAAATTAACTTTTAAGAAGGCATACCTGTTCATTGAAATGCATTCCAAGTGACTACCTCATGAAACTGGTTGAGAGAATGCCAAGAGTGTGCAAAGCTGTCATCAAGGCAAAGGGTGGCTATTTGAAGAATCTCAAATAGAACATATATTTTGATTTGTTTAACACTTTTTTGGTTACTACATATGCGCTATTTCATAGTTTCTAAGTCTTTAATATTATTCTACAATGCAAAAAATTGTAAAAATAAAGAAAAACCCTTGAATGAGTAGGTGTGTCCAAACCTTTGACTGGTAGTGTGTGTGTGTGTGTGTGTGTGTGTGTGTGTGTGTGTGTGTGTGTGTGTGTGTGTGTGTGTGTGTGTGTGTGTGTGTGTGTAAATATATATATATATATATATATATACATACATACATACATACACACAGTATAAAACCATTTTATTAATGGTTAATTGCGTGATATGATTGCATTTTGCAAACCCGCTCCCCCCTTTCGCACTAAGATGAATGGTTTTGACAACTAAAGTTTTGTTTCACTATTACACTGCTTTGATTGGTGCAGCTAGAAACACAAGTATCCTATAATGAAAAGGCACCTGTGGAACTTTTTAAAATCTATTTTGTTGTGTTGTTGTTACAATTGTATTGGTGTTTCGTGTCTGGCGTGCATCATGAGCAAAGTCATTGTTGTAGCCTATCATTTCACTTCCCTTGTGAGGATATGAAGATACGTTTTGGATTCCCAAAACGTATAAGGCATGAATAAAATGCAATGAACATGTACAATTTTGAAACTTGAATTCTGTTTACATACAAAAGTACAATTCTTAAGCATTGAAAAACCGATTTAGCATCAGAGCCTAGTACCCTAGGTAGACTGATTCACAGTAGGATCAATTATTTAATAAATTGCTTTCCAGCCTAGCAAATAAGACCCACAATATTGTTTGGCCAGACAAGTATCTAAGGCCAATTGCAAGACAGATTATCATACCAGCTACCATTCCATGGCTTTTTTTATTGGTAGATTTCAAGGGCCCATGTCCTGACTGAAAACTAAGAACACTAGTTTGGTGTTGAATCTAATAATGTTCCATGCAGTCAAGTCTCTTGAGAAGTAGTTATGTGTCGGGACTCAGTCAAACCAAGTTAAGGCTATTGCTCTTTGAGGCATTGTAGAGAATCTCTCTTGATGCTAAAAGACTCTTTGAGGCTTTCTTCTGCCTGTTTCTTTGAGATCAGTCTCCAGGCAGGCGGAATATATGCAGGCTCTGCGTCATACATTTTGGCAAAGTGCTCGTTGAATTTTGCCATCACAAATTTCCAGTAGTCTGAGGCCTGTATGCTGGCATCCGCAGGAATATGCCAGTCAGGGTAAATGTACCGGTATTTCTTGTAAGGATGCCACTGTCCACCTGTTGCATAGCAGCTGAAGGTGGCATCAGTGAACACTGAAGAGGAGCAGATATCAGTGACAAGTTTTCTTGAGCCCTGAAACCTATATTGACCAAGTCCCTCTGGTCTGTGTATTGAGGCACAGTGGTCTCTGTGGGCTTTTCCTCCTGCCTCGCACGGTGCCTTGCAGAATGGGCACTGCTTCCCGCAGCCAAACACTCTTGTGAACAGCTCATTCTGCGGCTTGATGTTCTGTCTTTCCAATTTCTTTTTCATATCCCTTGCTCTTTGGAACTCTTCTCTCAGCGACTGTTCCATCTCCACTACAGATGTTTTGAGCCAGTGGGCAAACGATTCCTGTTTGGAATTGTTGAGGATCATGGTGGCTTTCAACGCATCTTGGGGAAGCACCAGCTTCTCTCCAAGGTACCTGCATATGTCCTCAATGAATTTCTTTATGTTGCCATTCTCATTCGTCTGTGCTTTCTTGATTGCCTCAGTGATGACACTGACGATCCCTTTGAGTTGACAGTCTTCCAATTCAAACATTTTATTTCCTTGTGAGAAGCGTTTCAAGATTTCATCCAAAATCCAATTCTTGACAAAGCCTTCGTAGTCACAAATGTAGCTCACATACTTGGCAAAGTTGAATTCTGACAGTAGTTGCTTCAGGATAGAGTACTGGAAAAAAGCCCGAGAGCTGAATTGAGAGGCATTCTGTCCCGTCAGCATTTCGTCAACAATTTCCAGACCCAGGGAACTGGCAATATAGGCTTCTACTGCAGGTTTGAGACACAGGGTGGTGAACCGCTCGGCTTTCTTCTGACACTGATCTTGTCCACTGAACAAGTCTTTGAAATCTGCCAAGTATTTACCTTTGAACTGTTCAAGGCACCAACGAGGATTATTGTCATTTCTGAACTTTTCATGCAGATTCTGGAAGGTCCTGGCTGCAAACCCACAAATATGCAATTTGATGTTCAGTTCAAATTTGAGGCTTGTCTCAAGATCTTTGTTGGCATCCAGCTTCTCTTCAATCAAGTGCAGAATCTCTTGTATGTATGTTTCATGGTAGTCCGTTTTCTTTTGTAACTTCTCGAACACAAACTCTTCGCATTTGGCTACAAGGTTGTCTGCCATGGCCTGGGTTTTTCTTGTGTGCTCATCCATGTAAATACCCCTTTACTAATTTCTTAAAAAACCCATCTGGAGAGACTATGAAGGGTTGTTTTCCATGATCTTCAAGTTTCACTTTGTTCAGCTTTTCATTCACTGAACTTCCCTTCTGCATCATGTTAGACCGGAGCTGGTTTGGAAACATCACTCAAAACGTCTTGTGACACTAATCCTTCAAAGTTCGACAGCTCCTGCACGGTTTCCTCCCACACCTTTTCAAATTCTCCATCAAGGTCCTTCACTGACAACGGAGATTGCCTCTTTCTGCAGTCATTAAGCAACTTCAGCACTTTTTTCTCCATCACATCTGTGTGGTTCTTCTTGATTATGCCAAGCTTGATCATTCCTTTTTGAATCTCAAAAGCAGCTACCAGTTTACTCATTATAGAGTTTTCCATCTCACTTTTGATACTTTTGGTGCTGTTTGCGAAATCCTCTCTGTATCTCTCCACAAGATAGACATGGCCCTCTGGCTGTTCGTAGTACTTGGTCAGGTTGTCAAGAATGGTCTTCTCCCATTTGATAAGTTCCATTGAGGCATCCATTTTCAATTTGCTGTGAAAATCCCTCATGTTGGCCATCTGGTATTTCATTGCAACTGTCCCAAAGTTGGAAATCCTTGTTTCAGCATTTGTTGTCCATGTGTGCATGTGCTTTTTGAATGACCATTCCCACTTATTGAACTCAACACACAACTTCATGTAGGCATCAGCCACCAGGCTGTTTCTGAAGCTGAAGATGAAGTTTTCATACTTCACAGCATTCCAAAGGCTTTTTGTCCACGTCAGAAAGTCCATGATTTTGTTCCCAGAGGCTTCACAGTCCTGGAAGACCTTGATCATGTTCTTTTTGAACTCGTAGACGGACTCGCTGTACCCGGCGTTGACGGGTGCCATTGGAGGGTTGCCATGCCAAAGTCCAGGGATGTACCAGTTACCAGTCTCTGGGTTGTACTCCATCACATCTGTGAAGCTTTTGTTCGCTTCCTTTTTCTCCATTCTGGCCGCTGCCTGGGTCATCTCGTTCAATTGCTCCAAGAGCATTTTCCGGTCTCTCATGTTCTTGTCGTGTGCCGAGACATCTGCCACATTCTGGTGGACAAACTGACACCTGGGTTTCTTTCCCACCTCTTTCATTCGAAGAAAAGCATGGACAACAATTTGAAGGATGTCCTTCATCTCGGTTGAGTTCTCCATGGCAATGTTTATTATTGTGACATCACTCAGCCCGACAACTAGTGTGGCTAGCTCATTGTCGTGCTCATAGCTGTCATCCAGCTGTGCCAGCTCTGGAGACTTCAGTCCTTCTGTGTCGATGATCACTAAGAAGTCGCAGTTCAGCTCCTTTTTGAAGTCATCTTTGACTTTGATGAGAAGCATGAAGGCCCCTCTTGTGCATCTGCCACTACTGACTGCGAACTGCACTCCAAACATTGTATTCAGTAGAGTGGACTTTCCTGTGCTCTGAACACCTAGAACGGTTACCACCAGGACCTTGTTCTTTGGCTGCACCAAGACATTGAGCTGATGCAGCACATCACTCACCCATCTCAGAGGTATGTTGGACGCATCTCCATCCACAAGCTCCAGAGGAAATCCCATCCAGAAGCAGCTCAGCACATAGTCTGGGCAGGTGCTGCAGTTGTTGCCTTGACTCTTCAGTTTCTCTCAGTAAGACCGCAGATTCATACAGTTGACCCATTTCACGTAGGAAATGTTCAGTTCCTAAAGAACTGTTTGAAATCTGTCTGTCAAGGTCTGCAATTTCTTCTTTGTTATCAGAGGAGTTCTGGCACTTCTCTTTGTACTGCTCTCTGAGGCCAGACAAGTTTTTACGAGACAGATTGTCCAGGTTCATTCGCATCCATTTCAAGAAGTAGGACCTTTCTAGCCCCGTGCTTGACATTGCATTTATGAAGAAAGTCATCGCCCAAGACATGTCATAGTTGCTCTGCTTTTTCCTGAGTTGTGTCTTCTGTGATTGGAGATCACTTTTGTACATCTCTATGTTCTTATTCCCAGCTTTCCGCAGTCTGCATTCCTCCTTCTCTAGACGTGCCAGCTCCTTCCAGATCTGTCCTTGCAAGGGAAGCTGACTTTCCTTATACTGTGGTATATCATATATGATTGAGGTAATTGCATCTGCATTTTGCTTTGCACTCTGACATTCTTGGCAGTCCTCGTCAACCAAGATCCCGAGCTCGTGTGCCACTTCAGCCATCTGCTCCAGTGGCATTTTGGACTTTGAACTCTTGATCACCTCACCAACTGTGTTTCGCAGGTTCTTTACAAATTCGGCATCATTCATCTGTTTGTTCTTCAGGATGACGTTGCTAGTCTTCAAGTTCAGCTCTTTGGCGGTTTTTTTCAAAGCATCAATGCTGAAGCTCTTGCTCTGTGTGTTACCCACTAGAAACAGGTGTGCCTTGGTATGTTGGCTGGTCAGTAGATTGTACTTGATATCCAAGTTGTCGAAGAACACAAAGACTGCTACAGAAGTCTGACAAAGAAAGGAGTACTGTGTCTCAAACAAACTGATGTCCCCTCTTAGATTAGCTACAGCGACCGGTTCACCAAAGATGTCAATATTATTTTTCCCACAGGGGAGGTACCAGCTTATCTCAACCAATCCATTGGATATCCTCCTTGGGCTATCACCGCATTCCATGTCATGGTGGACAAACGTGTCGTGATACTGTTGGGGATTACTCAGAAGCTTGTTCAGAATCTGTGACTTGGACAGAGAGCACTCACCCAATCTGACAAAAGAGACCATAGGGAGGTCAGAGAGAACAATCCTGTCTTCAACAAATCCTCTCGGGTCTGCCAATGAATGAGGTCTGAACTTCTTGACAATGTCTCGCATTGCCCAAAGCATGAGCGTGCACTGTTTTGTGTCACAATTGGGTAGAAGCAGGGGCACAGAAAACTGACACATTGACATTTTCAAGACCATCTCTTGCTGCAGAAAACCGTTAGAGCACAGAAAGAGAGCAGTAACAATGTCTAAGGGGTTTACAACATTACTAGAGTCCAGACTATTAACCAGGCTCTCCAGATCTAGGTCTATGTTGCAAAATGAAGCATCACAACTTCCCTCGCCTCCTGATGAGGTACATTTCACACTCCTAGCTGTTACATTAACCATCATTAACCTCTTCAGGAAAGTCCATGGTAGGGCTGAGAGAGTCTGAGCAGGTTCATCTGTGATGGTCTTCTCACCGATCTGCAGCACAGTGCTCAGGGTGAGCTTCTCTGTGAAGTGTTGCTCCAACCCCAGGTCCAGCAGCAAGCGCTTCAGGTGGGTTTCTGTGGGGGAAAAGAGAAGGGTTTGAGATATTTTTTGCTATGTTCAGGTGAATTTAGTAAACCTTTGTTATTAAATCTGTGAAGCACAACCTTTATTTTATAGATTACATATCAGAACAGGGGCAGACCAGATCGGCTGGGCATGCCAGATCGGCTGGTCCATTTTTAGCCCAGTGGGCCTGTCTAATTATCATTATCTGGCTAATACTGGGAACCTCACGTAAAACATTTTATTTATCAGCAAACAAAAACTCTGTGTTTCCCTAGCATTAGCACAATGACTGGAAGTATATGAGAACAACTACCTTCAACCTCCTTCAAACTGAATGCAGAGACATAAAAATTGTATCCATGAGTTCATCTGACTCTGGATAAGTAGAAAAAGGGCTTGAATTGCAAAAATCTTGCACTATCCCTTTAAGATCAGAGTGACAAGTTAGAACTTATATTTGTAGCAAACAGAGTGAGCAGCGACGCAAATGAATCAGTGTCCACCATCCTTTTTTTTAAAGTCCCAAGAAGTGGCCTTCTCACAGCCGTTCTACAAAAGCCACCACTGCTGAAAAATATATTTGTGGAAACACTGAACTGCTAGGGTGTATGAATTTTTCATTCAATAATTAAGTTGTAAATGACAGATTCTTATGTAGTGAGATTTGTTTCTTTGTTATGTAAGTATGTTTACCACGATCCGTGTGTACAGTATGGTGCCTTCAGAAACTATTCACACCCCTTGACTTTTTCCACATTTTGTTGTGTTACAAAGTGGGATTCAAATAGATTTTTTTGTCAACGGGCTACACAAAATACTCTGTAATGTCAAAGTGGAAGAACAAGTCTAACATTTTCATGGAGAAAGCTTAATGGAGAATGCTTTTCCAACAGTCTTGAAGGAGTTCCCACATATGCTGAGCACTTTTCCTTCACTGTGCGGTCCAACTCATCCCAAACCATCTCAATTTGGTTGAGGTCGGGTGATTGTGGAGGCCAGGTCATCTGATGCAGCACTCCATCACTCTCTTTCTTGGTCAAATAGCCCTTACACAGCCTGGAGTTGTGATTTGGGTTATTGTTCTGTTGAAAAACAAATGAAAGTCCCACTAAGCGCAAACCAGATGGGATGGCGTATCGCTGCAGAATGCTGTGGTAGCCATGCTGGTTAAGTGTGCCTTGAATTCTAAATAAATCACTGACAGTGTCACCAGCAAAGCATCCCCACACCTCCTCCTCCATGCTTCACGGTGGGAACCACACATGCGGAGATCATCCGTTCACCTACTCTGCATCTCACAAAGACACGGCGGTTGGAACCAAAAATCTCAAATTTGGACTCATCAGACCAAAGGACAGATTTCAACCGGTCTAATGTCCATTGCTCATGTTTCTTGGCCCAAGCAAGTCTCTTCTTCTTATGGGTGTCCTTCAGTAGTGGTTTCTTTGCAGCAATTCAACCATGAAGGCCTGATTCACGCAGTCTCCTCTGAACAGTTGATGTTGAGATGTGTCTGTTACTTGAACTCTGTGAAGCATTTATTTGGGCTGCAATCTGAGGTGCAGTTAATTGCCGATTTCTGAGGCTGGTAACTCTAATGAACTTATCCTCTGCAGCAGAGGTAACTATAGGTCTTCCTTTCCTGTGGCGGTCCTCATGAAAGCCAGTTTCATCATAGCGCTTGATGGTTTTTG